TATGATTCGTCTGAAAATAAATTTATGAAGAATGCCATACCAGATTCATATCTCACTACCATATTCAATGACCAAGATGTATCATCAAGAATTTTGTTAAAAAAATGTCCATTTAAGTAAATGATGCTAAACCATAAATACATGCATACTTTCGGAACCTCTGTAATCATAAAAGTTATAAGAACAATGCCGATCATTACTACGGACTTTCTTTCCTGTCTTCTTTGGTCCGTCATTCGTCCTCGAAACTGATTGTTCGCTAATTTGTAGGCAATAAAAACAGCTGACATAAGCATAAAAACGCAACAGCAAAATAGCAGAACAGTCTGCAACAAAAGGTAATAAACAGAACTATATTCTAGAATCTTTGATTGTCTTTCAATGTAAATGCATTTATAAATCGGATTATATTGGAAAGCTACGCTAAAATGTCTTGGAAGACTAATTGATGCAGAAAATAGAACAGCTAAAATACAACAAATAATTGCTTTACGATTTGTCAGGTTAAATTTGGTCCAAATTGGAAACAAAATGGCTATAACCTTTTGCAAACCTAGAAAAGTTGTCATCAAATAGGATACTGTATGAAACATAGACGACAGTATTGACAGATGAACTTCGATAGAGCAATACGGGTATTGTAAATAACAAATTGATAATTTACGACCAAGACGGTTGTACTCACACGCATATTTTGTCTGGAATAAAGGTTCTAATCCGTAGGATGAAAATGCAGTTAGAAAGTCAGCTGCGGCTAAACCTTGCATTAGTATCGTAGCAGGAGAGATCATATTTTTCCGGCACAAAATAACGAATACGATTATGTTGAAAAGCATAGACACATACGCAATAACAGAACCACATGTCATTACTGTTAACAAGTTGTCGTCCCTGTCCGATTTTATTTCATAGACAAAGAATCTACCACCAAAAGCCATTATTGCAAAATATTATTTGTCGGTCTCCTTTTGTTTTAAACATTCGATAGGCGACTAGCATTTGTGCTTAGTAATTTACTGCATATGAATAGATGGCCAATACTTTTATTTCGATCCAACACGTATCATTCTCGTTTCTCTTTATGATTGACCAATCATAAAAACACACACGTCAAATGGTTTGCTTATTTGATGATATGAACTAGAGAATGACTTTGCAAACCAATATTTGAAACAATCAGATCAATTATTTAAGAAGATTGCCAGTATTGTCAGGAGAGTAATTACGATATTTGAAAATCCGATTGACAGTGATTGACCGTTTATGGTACATATGTACATGATGTAAGTGGTGTTATATTGCTAAAAAAAATAAAGTCACAAAAATACTGAATTCGAGGAAAATTCAAAACGGAAAGTCCCTAATCAAATGGCAGAATCAAAAGCTCAAACACATCAAACGAATGGACAACAACAAATGATAAAATTCATTTTGTATTGGATATACTCCATAAGATGGGATACTTATAATCTTTCACCACTGTGACAATATTATTTGTTTTTTTTTATGTGAAATGGTAGCTTTCAATTATAAAGAAAAAGATAGGATTTCTTTTAAATCGTACATAATCCAGAAAAAAATATACCACGGAGCAATTTTTTCAAAGAAAACAGAAAAGAGAGTGGCCAACGAAAAACGACGAAAAGACAGAAAGGTCTCTAAAAACTCAATACAAAACTATAGATTGAACAGTATGGACCCTTCACATAAACTACAAACTAAAGATTAAGCAGTGTGCTCTCCCACAAAAACTATAGATTAAGCAGTATGTACCTCCACAAAAACTACAAAATTATAGATTGAGCAGTATGTACCTCCACAAACACTACCAAATTATAGATTGAGCAGTATGTACCTCCACAAAAACTACAAAATTATAGATTAAGCAGTATGCACCTCCACAAAAACTACAAAATTATAGATTGAGCAGTATAAACCCCACAAAGACCGAGAGAAAAAAAACAGGGATAAATAACAGATACATGATATATCTGTGTTATAATAAGACATAACATTGAAATTTGAAACGGAATTTTTCAAAAAGACAACCTCCCAACCAAAGAGCATAAAACAGCCCAAGGCCACACATGGGTCTTCAACACAGTGAGACAATCCCGCACTCGGAGGCGGGCTTCAGCTGGCACATAAACAAAAATGTGTACTAATTCAGTGAAAACATGGACGTCATACCAAACTCAGAAACATATAAAGAAACCAAAATCAAAAGAAAACATACAAAACTAACAAAAGCCAGAGGCTCCTGCCTTGGGACAGACTCAATATGCGGCGGGGTAAAACATACTTTGTGAGATCTCAACCCTCCCCCTAAACATCTAGCAAATGACGAATAAAGAAACACACAGCAATACGCACAGTACAACTTAGTTTAAAAGAAGTCCGAGTCCGATGTTAGATTTCGTATTTGATTGAGGACAGATATTGCACTATGCAGCGTGTTGAGGTTTTTTTATGTAAAGATATATTATCATATAATACATGATTGAAGTCTACCAACTTCAGATATAAGCATTGTTGATTTGAACTCGTACTCATATAAACTTTTCAACTCGCAAAGGAGTTATAAAATTCAGAAAATGTCTCATTAACCGTATAATACTCAATCATACTTATCTTTGAGAAGAGAAGAACTAACGTATTCTTGCTTTTTAATTTCAAAATTTACCAGATAATGATTTACCAAACCGCAAGAGTACTCATTTAATTTACATATTTTCAACAATTAATTAGCACAAACAGATCAACAATATAAAGGAATAATGAAAAAGAAAAGGTTAATTTATAGTGAAAATGTACAGCAATTTCATCAGTGACAAGACTTTTGCAGGTAATTAACACTCAGTTCTTGACAATAACTAGCTATCGAGTGTTAAAGAATCCATATCATCCGAAAAAGTAAAATAACAAAGAATACCGAAGTCCAAGGAAAGTTTAAAAAGGAAAGTCACATTATAAGTTGACAAAATCAAAAGCTCAAACACATCAACGAATAAAAATAACTGCCAAATTCCTAACTTGTTACAGCCATTGACTTATGTAGAAAGTGGTGGCTTAAACCTGGTTTTATAGTTAACTAAACCCTTTTATATAGCTAGGCAATCCTCTCAATTGTATGAAAATCTTATAGAATTAGCCACGTTTCGATCAATATAGTCTGTCTCTTTTGATAGATTCTTACGAAATTTCAATCCATAATTTAACATCAGTTAACATGGTGTTTAATGCTCATTAAGTCATGAACAAATACACATCAATATACATGTAAATAATATAAACATAGGCAAGTGTATTAGATAACAGGAATCAGCTAGAATTCATTAATATTCCTCTAAATATATTGAAGCATGGTAGCGAACGTTGATTTTTTTGGTCGTGGTGTCATCTGTGAGGCCGCACATTCAGAATTCTTAACATCCTATATATATCTCAACAGGTTCTACAAATTCGTAATGTGTCTTGACTGATTCGTAACTTATTTTCAACATTTCAAATTTTTCTAAACAAACTTTGAATATTCTTATTTCTTTCCATTTTCCATTTGAAAATTTGTTGTTTTTCAAAAAATTTGTAATTAAACAGTTTTTCTTTAATACATATATTATATTCTCAAACCTGTACTTTTTTACTTCTGTGTTTTTTGTGAGGGTTTTCTCGTCTTTTCTAGATTATGTATGATTTATAAAGAAATCCTATTTGTTTCCTTAGTAATTGAAAGCTACCATTTCATTTAACAACACATAATATTGTGGTGAACGATGTGCTTTGTATCCATCTGATGATTTAATACAAACAAGTTGAATTGGTACGATTGCCATTGAGACAACTACACACAAAAGTTAGCCCTTTTCAACCTTGTTATAAGTTTCTATTATTTTGTACTGTTACATCACTGTCCAGGTAAAGAGGAAATTTTTGCGCAAGCTAATATGTTTAACTCCGGCAGTTCTCTTTGTGCATGTCCCAAGTAAGAAGCCTGTAATTCAGTGGTTGGTGTTTGTTTTTGTATATCATATTTTTGTTTTAGTTTTTTGGTTTGTACAAATCAGGCCGTTAGTTTTCTCGTTTTAATTGTTTGCATTTTTTGCTTGCTGTACGGTATAGGTTTGCTCATTGTTGAAGTATTACGATGACCTATAGTTGTTTACTTCTATATCTTTTGAATTTAGTCTCTGTTGGAGATTTCTCATTGACAATCATAACACATCCTCTTAATTGCTATTGACTCTTGAAATAAGTCCCTGGTAGACAAATAAAATTGAGAATGGAAATGTGGAATGTGTCAAAGAGACAACAACCCGAACAAAGAGCAGAAAACAGCCGAAGGCCACCAGTGGATCTTCAATACAGCGAGAAAATCCCGGACCCGGAGGCGTGCTTCAGCTGGCCCCTAAACAAAAATGTGTACTAGTTCAGTGATAATGGACGTCATACTAAACTTCGAAATATATAAAAGAAACTAAAATTAAAAATCACACAAGACTAGCAAAGACCAGAGGCTCCTGACTTGGGACAGGCGCAAAAATGCGGCGGGGTTAAACATGTTTTTTTGAGATCTCAACCCGCCCCCTATTCATCATGCCAATTTAGAAAAGACAAACATACAGCAATACGCACAGTAAAACTCAGTTTAAAAGAAGTCCGAGTCCGATGTCAGAATAGGTAACAAAAGAAACTAAACAAAATGACAATGATACATAAAATTAACAAAGGACTACTAGCAGTTACTGACTTACCAGCTCCAGACCTCAATTAAACTGATTCAAACATTATGTCTTCATCATATGAATATCAAGCACAATCCCTCACGTTAGGGGTTTAGTATCATACCATCATAACATATATGAGAAGAACATAACCCGTATCATGCATTTTGAAATAGAACATTTTGAACTATACGTTTTGAGATACAGTAAAGATTGTTTATAATGTGTCCAAACATTGAATATGCAGAAATGGTCATTCTTCAATTAAATCAATGTATGTTTAAAATATTTACAATTTAATGATAAAACATTTTCCATACAGTCACCGCCCGTTTAAATTTACAACATGAGGTATTCAGATTCATTAGAAGAATGGTGTATAATGTATGTGAAGTAACAATTGCACAATGCAGTCATTCTGTCTATTTCTCTCAGTCATTAAAATCCAATTTTCCTGTGATGAAGTTGCCTAGTGCACTGATATCATCTGACCTATAATAGTCTATACACAATTCTTTAAAATAATCTAAATCCACTTTCTTTGTGTTATTCTGAAAGAGAGGAAAAAATGTTTAGATTAAGTAGATGTATATAACAATTTATCAGAATCCACAAGGGTTGAATACATAAATGGGTACAATTCAACAATGTCCATATTTATAAACAAAACAAAACCACGAGACGACGAGATACAGTTATTGTCCTTTGATGTTCGTTTACAAAATTAATATAGTTCCCAGTGTGGACAGTGTATAACTATTTTTCATACATTTTCCAAACTTATTTCTTCATGTTTTACGCATGAGATATTATGCAGTGGGTTGAAATTATATGTTTTTAAAAAACGTGGGGGATGCATGTAAAGGTATATGTAAAAACGGTTTGGGCCAGTTAAAAAAGGTAAACAAAATAGTATGTCTGAAGCTGTCAGACTGAATTATAGACCCCCTTACCATAGAATTGCCCATATTTTGAGTTAAGAGCTGGTAGACCTTTCTGTAATTTCTATAGTAAGTGTCCCAAAAGTAGTATACTACACTGTAACGTTTTAACATTGATAAAGGCTACAATGCCGAAAGATAATTTCTCTAACCCATGATTTTTGTGTTTTGGTTTTGTTTTGTTGTGATTGTTTGTTCGTTGTTTGTAGTTTTTTGTCATTCTTTCAATATTTTCATTAAATTATGTCATCTATCTTCGGCATATACTACAACTATCTATCTACTTTGCAGCCAGGGACTAGTCATGCCTTTTACATATCGCCTTAGGGGACATAACTCTAATTTCTAACTAGTCTTAAGACACGAAGATTGTATTCACGATTGGAAGATTATTTTACAAATGGCTAATATTCATTTCATTGCATTTAAGAATGTTTGCTGTATATATACAATTTAAGATTTTTATAATATAGTATTTTTAATGGAGAGTATATAAAAATATGATGTTGACACAGAGATATGTCTCGCTTGTCTGCATAAAATTCAGAAACAGACAATCTGATGGAAAGCAACAATGCCTATTAATTCAAAGTCGCTTAATCATAATCTTGTTGTCAGAGCATAGAAATGGTCGACAAACTGAGATTTACTGATGGTAATGCAATTTTACACAACTTATCATTGATCTGTAGCAAGTAGTTTTTCATCAAACAGACTTAAGCAGAAAAACTTAATATTGAAAATTGCTTGGTAGTTCAAAGTCACTGGACCATGCCCTCCGGACCAGAGCTTCAAAATAGTCGTCAAATAGATACATGTATATACCTATTGTAATGCAACTTCATACACAATGTAACTGAGCTATTACAAGTAGATCCTATTAAACTGTCTTAAGCAGAAAACTTAAAATTGAAAATTGCCTAATAGTTCAAAGTCACTTGACCATGAATTAGGGGGCAGGGCCTCAAAATAGTTTTCAAACTGAGATGTAATGATACGTGTATTAATGCAATTTTATATCAAATATGATTAATATAACACAATTAGTTCCTATCAAACTATCTTAAGCAAAAAACTTAACATTGAAAATTGCTAGTTATTTCAAAGTTACTTGAGCATGACCTAGTGGGCAGGGCATCGAAATAGTCGTCAAACTAACTGAAGCATAAAACTTACTAATTGTTAACGCAACCGCCATCGCCGTAAAAGAAAACCCTATGTCTCGCTTCCGCGACTTTCGTCGCAGGCGAGAAAAAAGCTCAGACAAATCTTGATTCCGACCTGTTTTATTTCCAAATACCTATTTGAAAATCCCTAAATATTCAAGAAAGAAAGGGACGTGTCCGTCTAAATTTTTCAGATGAAAAATATTTTAAACAAAAACATATTAGACTGTGTTGAAAAAAATTGTAATTTAAAGAAACTTGAAAAATTAACAACAATTTGAAGGAATTGTATTTGTAATGATGTCTTGGGTAGTTTTAGTCGTTGAGTTTCTGTGACGTTGTCGTATATAAGCGATTGTCTGTTATTCATACTGCCGACATATCAATAGGTTTGATACATAGGAAATCGCCTTGCTATTCTCGTGGTAGCGTGCCGCGGACTGTTACCTTACGAAAACGCACGTTGAAAATCCGGTCCAGCTTGTCGGACTAATACAAAGCATGGTTCAAACTTATATCGCATAAACATGTACTTGTTCTGAATATTCAAATAATTTTGAGGTTTAACAGCCAGCCATCATACATACAATTATAGTCTTTAAAAAATACTTACACATGAGAACATCAGAAATGCACACCTTGCATCTTTTGGGGGGACACCGAAATCTGATAGGACATATTCAAATTCCTCGGCATCGACTCGACCATCACCTGTAAGTAGTAACATTAACATTGAATTTGCAAACATTAAGGAAAGGAAATAAAATGACTTTTCGATAGATTTATAAATTGATTGTTGTTGTTTAATGCCATTTTTAACACTCTTTTAACGATGAAGCCCGAGTACCTAGAAAGAGACACCGACTGTCGGTAGGAAAACTGGTAATCATCAAGGTCGAATGCACTATGTCACAAGCGAGCTTTGAACACATAACCTAAGTATTGTTATTGATTATTGTAAATGAACTAGAGAAAACTGATGTGTCAGTAAGGGCCCTGCTTGTACATTTTAATGTGAAGCAAAGAGACTGATGCATTCAAAGCAAATGTTCACAGGTTGTCAATTTTTTTTAATTTTTACACCAGCAATTAATTCAGGATGTGTTTTTGATTAATAGAATTGAGAATGGAAATGGGGAATATGTCAAAGAGACAACAACCCGACCAAAGAGCACACAACAGCCGAATATATGTTTTGCTAAAATCCAAACCTTATGACATATATTTTGGTGGGCATTTTCGTAAATGGTGGGCAACCAATAATTTTGATAAAGAGACTCATTTTGTAATGGTACCTTTTTCATTTGAATCCTAGCAAGATTATGATTCTCAAAGTTATTCATTTAAGTTTTTAACACAATTTTGACTTGAGGAAACAATTTGAAATGCCTATTATGCCTTTATTATATATCAGTTTTTGTTTCAATCCTATTATAAGAATACATTTCTCAAATTTGTGATTTTTTAAGAAAAAAATTCGTAAGGGTTCCGCGGAACCCAGTGTCTCGCCTAGTTTTGCTGTGAGTTGCAGGCTCAACAAAAATGGGGAAATAATTATTAAACATTTTCCTCTAGATAGTATCTTTTGAATGTAAGAAGCTTCTGTTTAAGTTTGGTAAGATCCAGGATGGTTTATGAATCTAATAAATGTTTTAAAAACTTTAACTGCAGACTGTATGTAATGTTAACTGGAAGAAAAACTAAGTCCATTTATAAGTAATATACGGAAAAACAGGAAATTTTTTTTTACAAAATGTCCTTCTAGATACTAGCTTTTGATCATAAACAAGCTTCTATCCAAGTTTGGTACAAATCCAGGATAGTTTAAGAAAGTTATTAAAATTGTGAAAACTTTAACCACAGAGCGAATGTAATGTTAACTGGCAGAAAAACTAAGTCCATTATAAGTAAAATACGGATAAACAGGATTTTTTTTTAACAAAATTTACTTTTGAATACTATCTTATGATCATAAACAAGCTTCTGTCCAAGTATGGTACAAATACAGGATAGTTTAAGAAAGTTATTAAAATTTGAAAAAAAACTTTAACCATAGTGTGAATGTAATGTTAACTGGCAGAAAAACTAAGTCCATTTATAAGTTAAATACGGATAAACAGGATTTTTTTTTTACAAAATTTACTTCTGGATACTATCTTAAGATCATAAACAAGCTTCTGTCCAAGTTTGGTACAAATCCAGGATAGTTTAAGAAAGTTATTAAAATTTGAAAAACTTTAACCACAGAGTGAATGTAACATGTGTAATGTTAACTGGCAGAAACATTGAGTCCATTTATGAGTAAAATACGGATAAACAGGATTTTTTTTTTTACAAAATTTACTTCTAGACACTATCTTAAGATCATAAACAAGCTATACTTTTTAAGGTTTTGCGTTTACAAAAGACATTTCTCAAAATTTGTGATTTTTAAATAAGGTTTTTTCTGAAACTAATGAGCCAAATTTTGCCGAAATATGATATAGATATAAGAAGATGTGGTATGAGTGCCAATGAGACAACTCTCCATCCAAGTCACAATTTATAAAAGTAAACCATTATAGGTCAAAGTACGGTCTTCAACACGGAGCATTGGCTCACACCGCACAGCAAGCTATACAGGGCCCAAAAATTTCTAGGGTAAAACCATTCAAACGGGAAAACCAACGGTCTAATCTATATAATCTGCACGAGAACTGTGCAAAATTTCATTGGCCTCTTATCTATACTTTTGGATGTTGGATGTGTGCTGATTGATATTTTACTCTTAAATGCATGATTGTTTTTTATTAGTTGTTATTGTCTTTGAACTAGATGTCTGTAACTGTGAGTACTCTCAGATCCGTTCTTAGTGTCTAAGTTTGTTGTGGGGTGTATAAATACCCTGCCACGTCCGGTCTGTGGTTTTGTTAAATGTTTGTCTGTAATACCACTGTTCCAGACTAGGGGGAGGGTTAGGCGCCAGCAAACAAGTTTAAACCAGCCACACAGTATATGTGCAGTCCCAAGGTCAGGAGCCTGTAATTCAGTGGTTGTCGTTTGTTGCTGTATATCATACTTGTTTTTCGTTCATCACTTTGTTCATAAATCAGGCAGTTAGTTTTCTAGTTTGAATTGTTTTACATTTGTCATTTTAGGGCGTTTTATAGCTGACTATGCGGTATGGGTTTTGCTCAGTATTGAAGGCCGAACGGTGAGCTATAGTTGTTAACTTCTATGTTATTTGATCTCTAGTGGAGAGATGCCTTATTGGCAATGAAACCAAATCTTCTTATTTTTAAAAACATCTGTGCAAAGTTTTATTAGCATCCTACCTATGCTTTTTGAGTTTTTTGAGTTTACAAAAGACATTTTTCGAAATTTGTGATTTTTTTATCGAAAACAAGGTTTTTTCCATAATGAATGAGCCGAATTTCACCAACACATATAATTTACACATCTAAATATTAAGCACAACAACTGTGCAAAATTTCATTGGCCTCCTACCCATACTTTTGGAATGTTTGCGTTTACAAAAATTGTGGGCGGACAGACGGACAGACAAACAGACAGACAGAGTAAAAGCTCCCGAATCCTCGATGCGGGGCCATAACTACATGTAGTATAAACTTTTTGATATCTTTGAAAGTCATAAAACATTACGCTCGTGCATGTTTGCACTATTTTAACTTCATTAACAGGGATTTCTCCTTCCATAAAAAATGTTCCAAAGTAGTTACTAGGAAGAAAGCGTGAAATCGACACTTCATACATATACGCTTTACGGTGATCAACACAAAATTGGTTTGCCGATACGATGTGTCTATTTCTCAACTCACAAGCGACATGTTTTTGAGGTCTTAGATCTTTAGACTAGTATAGTCGTCTGGTCTGTAATTTTCATCGACTGTGTCCTATTCCTGATTGTGACATTTTGACGGAGTATAGATTTGCATGACAAGGTGTGCATGCATAGCAGGAGATGTTTATTCTGTCGATGCATTCGGTCTTCTTTTTTATTCTTTTATTGTACGTTCTTAAAGGATTTATAAAATTTCAGTAAAGAACTGTTGCCTCTAACTTAACGTCTAGTGGCATGTAATGATAATAATAAAAAAAAACTGGCAATGTATTTGGAACAAGATAAAATGAGTTAACATGAACAAGTTGATGTTTTAGAATATTCGTGCCTATATCATAAAGTAAGGTAATTTTAATGAAGTGAAGTTATATTTACCTGAAAACACATCTTTTATAAATAAAAATAAGGAGCGGTATGATTGCAAATAAGGCATTTATCCATCAGAGTCAAAATGCGTGAATGGTAGCAAATTAAGGTTACCATATTGCCCTCAACAATGAGCAAAACCCATACCGTATAGTTAGCTACATGTATAAAGGGCCTCGAAATGAAAAGTGACATAATTCAAACGAGAAAACAAACGGTCTGATGTTTGCTAACACAATAAACGAACAACAAATATGACAGACAGATACCTACAACCGCCATTAAATCACAGGCTCCGGACTTGGGACATGCATATAAAGAATGCGGCGAGGTTAAACATGTTTGTGAGCATTCAACCCTCCCACCCAAGGTTTGGTGTGTTTCAGAAATAAAGGGCGAGAAATTTAAACTGTCCCTGAAAAGAAAGGGTTGATAGGTACGGAAAAAACTGGCTACCTACGGAACACTCTTTGTTTGACGTGAAGAAAGCATTGTATTCTCCTACGCGAGACATTGGATTGAAGGTTCTGGATCAGACCAGACGTGAATGTGCGCGTGACATTGGATTGAAGGTTCCGGATCAGACCAGACGTGAATGTGCGCGAGACATTGGATTGAAGGTTCCAGATCAGACCAGACGTGAATGTGCGCGAGACATTGGATTGAAGGTTCCGGATCAGACCAGACGTGAATGTGCGCGAGACATTGGATTGAAGGTTCCAGATCAGACCAGACGTGAATGTGCGCGAGACATTGGATTGAAGGTTCCGGATCAGACCAGACGTGAATGTGCGCGAGACATTGGATTGAAGGTTCCAGATCAGACCAGACGTGAATGTGCGCGAGACATTGGATTGAAGGTTCCGGATCAGACCAGACGTGAATGTGCGCGAGACATTGGATTGAAGGTTCCAGATCAGACCAGACGTGAATGTGCGCGAGACATTGGACTGAAGGTTCCGGATCACACCAAACGTGAATGTGTATATGTGCACAGCCACACGGACGTCCTTCTTAGTACTGGTTATACTACAGGATGGGAGAAGTTCTTTTTAAGGGTTTTTTTAGCAAGTTTTATTGCATGATCAGTATTCTACTAACTAATAGACATTTGTACAATACACCCACCTGTTCTATCATACAGATTAAATTTATATTCTATATATTGTTCCAACCATTCTGGTAGTTTACGTTCTGGTGGTTCCTCGTTCTCTTTCTTTGATTGTTTGATACACTGTTCATTAAAATTTTGCCACATTTTTAACTGTAATAAATAAACAGTATCCGTCAAACGCGTACTTCATTAAAATTTTAGGACAAGATGTTTACTGTATTCAATCGTTGCTTAAAATTAAACCGATTACAGATACACAGAACAGAAAATGTGTGTGTATCAGTTCAAAATTCCAATACGCACACATCCCAAAGTGATAATGTTTGTATTGCTGATCTTCGTCCTAAGCATGTTTTCAACAGCTTTTGTAAATCTGATGACAAGAAAATTAAATTCGTACATTTTCATAAACATGCCTTAGATTCTAAGATTAATGAATCTTAATCAAATTTATTAATCTGCCTAGGAGGTGATCAATTATGGTCAGTTGCAATGCTTTCACGAAATTAGCTCATCTGTGCGTAAGACTTATTTGTATATGTAAGAATCAGGAGACAGGAGCCAACATATTGATAGACACAACAAATATTCTACAACCTTTTTAGTAAGAATGCACAGAGTTACAAATATACTCATACAAGAAAATAGTTCGTCATAAATATTTATTTCAGTATGGAAATGTGAGACAAATTATAGCAATTAATTGGAAAAAAGAGATCACAGTGAATAGATTGGTTTAAACGTCCAGTAGCAAATGTTACATGAACATCAGGACAGGAATATGTAATGACTGTGCTATGAAACGATACCCTGCTTTATTTAGACTTAAAGGCTGAGTTGGAATTTTAGCGTGCACGATAATAAGGTATCAGCAGTCCACATGAAGATATTCCCCCTACTGGTACACATGTTTTCTAAATCCGATATGACCAGTCTTTGCTTTTAATCCTTTTTGTTGTATGCTTGCATGAAAAGTGGCAAATTCTTATTTGTATGTCTTTATTTTTAATCGACTTGGGATCAAACACACGACCTCTCGTGCAAGAGGCAACCATGATACCACGCAGGCGGTTGACAAACGTGGAATGTAGCTACTACAGTTTTTCTTCATTTTCAGTTTTCCGTTATTTTTTCTCTACAAACCATATATTTGACCTATAAAAAACCTATTCCTCAAATTGTATTATTGTATGCTTTTCGTACGTTGTTAGCACAAATCCACATTTTATTTTGCGCACAAAGCTTGTGTTGCATTCGCTTATAAGTTGGGCGATTTTAGAGCTAACATTGACTACACTATACATAAATTAGAAGAGACTGATGTAGCGCAACATTTTCCAATTCATGAGGATGTGGATGGGGGTCCTTCATTTCTGTATTCTTTAATTTGTTAGCCCATTTTTCTCTATTCTTTATAATTTTGGTTCCAGTACTGTCTATTCCTTATATTTAAGCACCCCATTATTCTCTATTCTTTTTTTTTTGGTCCATTTTTTCTCTGTACTTTTTTTGTTTTTGGCCCTTTGTTGTGCACTTTATGCCATTATGTTCTATTTTTTAGACCCCATCCAAACCCTCATTTATACTAAATGGCTTACCCATTCTTCTATACTTATTTTGCCATCGTTATTTTCATCTCCTTCATCTTGTAACCTCCGCCATATTGTAATGAAAAGCTCGTTTGTTTGTTGAAATTTATCAGTCCCGACTTTCCAACCACTCAAATCACAGATTTTCTGAAACACACGAAATTAACGAAAATTAGTCATCATCAATAGCAACAACAACAACAAAAACAATATTATCAATGGCGAAAAGTGTCAAAACACATGCAATTAACTCAAATTAACTATCAACCTCCTTCTTCATCCTCATCATCATCAATGTCGAAAAGTGTTTAAACACAAGAAATTTACTATTATAATTCATCATCATTATTACCATCATGATCATCATCGATGTCAAAAAAAAAAAGTGAAACTAGAAATTATTACACGTATATTACGAGTTTTCCGTCCATTGCTTGCGTTTTTCAAATAATATCAATATTCCTTTATGTTTTTTGTTCTGAACGCCAGAGTTTCATACAAAACTTGTCACTAAAACTGACTGTTAACTATTCTTAATTGCTCATGACTAACGTATGATTTTAGTCTGGAATTTGTTGGCGAATCCAAGTACAGGAATTAACTGAGACACAAGCTTACATTTTGCTGTGTTTGTTATAGCTATGCAGATTCGCAAGTATATGCAAAGAGAAATAAAAATTCCACATTATAGATTTATTGATTGTTGGTTACTTAATGTCCAGTAGCAAATATGTCATGTATGTGGACGATCAATATTAGTGATCGATTAATTAATAGGTACATATAAAAGTTTGAGACTAGCCCATACAAACGATTGGAATAGTAAAATCAAATGAGACTTGTGGTATAGAGTAGCATTTTGTAAATGCTGAACTACAACCACAAAGAGTTCTTTCTCTATACGTATATTTCACTACATTGTTTCTTTTTATAATCAGTTCTACTGTCTCTTTTTCCTGAAGCTGATAGTACAACTTAATTCACTGTTTATATATAGCCTAACCATTTCAGTAGTCTGAATAAATGTTGGGAGACGGCCATATGATTTTCTTGGTGGAGCACAAAATAATTATTGTCACCTGTACAGTTTCTAGACATGCTAAACCAATTTTTGATTTTGTAAATAATTGCATCCTGCATTGTTTTGTCCCCCCTTCCGCCCCCCAAAAAATGAAAGTGCATGCATGATCGTACCCTGAACATTTAATTTGCGTGTTATCTTCTATGTGCATTAGAAGATGAATAACATTAACGGTACCCATTGTACTGCACCAGATGCACATATCAACAATAAACGTCTCTTCAGTGATGCTAAAGTCAAAATATTAAAAAAATCCAAAATTTATTAAAAAAGATGAAGAGTTAATAAACCAAAAAGGACAAAATTATAACCAAATCAGGGAAAAGAATCAGAGCTTTGTACGAGGGAGACATATTTCTTAATTTTAATGGTGTAACAGCAAACTGATAGATTCGATTATACACGTATAAAGTCATTTCCTCTGATGAAACAAAATGTACTTGTTTTTAATGTACAGTGAATGTAGTGAGTATACAGGATAACATGTTTTACTGTACAGTAAATGTTATTAGTATAAAGTATAACAGGTTTTACTGAACAGTGAATGTAATGAGCATAAAGGATAACATGTTTTTACTGTGAAGTGAATGTAATGGGCATAAAGGTAACAGGTTTTACTGTACAGTGAATGTAATGAGCATAAAGGATAACATGTTTTACTGTACAGTGTATGTAATGAGTATAAAGGATAACAGGTTTTACTGTAAAGTGAATGTAATGGGCGTAAAGGATAACAGGTTTTACTGTAGAGTGAATGTAATGGGCATAAAGGTAACAGATTTTACTTTAAAGTGACTGTAATGGGCATAATGGATAACAGGTTTTACTGTAAAGTGAATGTTATGGGCATAAAGGATAACAGGTTTTACTGTTCAGTGAATGTTATGGGCATAAAGGATAACAGGTTTTACTGTACAGTGAATGTAATGAGTATAAAGGATAACAGGTTATAATGCACAGTGAATGTAATGAGTATAGAGGATAACAGGTTTTACTGTACAGTGAATGAAATGGGCATAAAGGTGAATGTAATGAGTATAAAGGATAACAGGTTTTATAGTACAGTGAATGTAATGAGTATAAAGAGTAACATGTTTTACTGTACAGTGAATGTAATGGGTATAAAGGATAACAGGTTTTACTGTATAGTGTATGTAATGGGTATAAAGAATAACAGGTTTTACTGTACAGTGAATGTAATGGAATAAAGGGTAACAGGTTTTACTGTACAGTGAATGTAATGGGTATAAAGGATAACAGGTATTAAAAAACTTATTGAACAGTACAACTACCAACACCTGACTCCTCCAAATAACAGAGGAACACACAACAACGAACAACACGTGGTTCAGTATGCCTGAATTGCTTCAATTTCGTAGTTTATTTTGCCAGTTTTGACGTTTTCGATCCAAGCGTCACTGATAAGTATTTTGTAGCTGAGTCACGCATCTGGTGTTCACCATTTAATATTGCTATCCCTGATGAGTTTATTTGGTACAAGCACAAACTAAACTTATCATAGATAGATCATACCAGGATTAACACTGTAAACGCCAGACACGCTTTTCGTCTACAAACTGAGACTGACTGACGCTCGAATCAAAAAAGTAAATAAGGCCAAATAAAGTACGAAGTTAAAGAGCATTATAAATGCGATGGGAATAAACAAGTTTTTCATAGGCAAAATTTCCCCAATGTGCATGAGCCGTATGTCGTAAAAGTAAAATACACAATAAAAAACAAAAATACAAAGAACCGGACACTCATTACATGTTTCAGTGTTTACTTTCAATTTCCGGAAATGTTTCATTAAACAATGTTGACAGAACCACTTAATTTGTCTGTGTATTATATTGTCATACAGAAATGAAACGTCATGTTACGAAAAATTAATTATTTAAGGATCAGAATTTCCTACAAGATTTCTTCAGACGTAATTACGGTGTAGAAAGTCAATAGGAAAAATCTTAAAATAAACACAACTACAAGACAATTGTTTAATGATTATACAAGTGGAAATTCTCATTCACTCAATTGATGACTTTCACAGTAAAATAAACCATTAGTTTAGTCTGCCATTGTGAATATTGAGAAATTATACCGATGTTACTAGATGTAATACTGTTTCTACACTGATTAGTGAGTTTTTTCCACTGTACCCTTTTGATATTGCACTCATTGAGACAAAAGGCCGAGGGTTGAGAGAGAGAGAAAAAAAGGAAAGGTGTATGTGATTGTTACAAGTCTATAGTGTTTTAATCAGACCCAATGCATTTGTTTCCTGTTCGACCCTTTCGTGATGGGATCTGATCTTAGGTTGTGTCTGTTTAAATCGCTCTTAACTTGTCCAGATTTGGTAAGATTTAGGACATGGTACGGCACTTATTTAACATAAAATATCGTATGTTTGTCCTTAAATATCTTCTTTACAATGCATACCCCATTTTATTAGATGTTTCGTTTAACCCATATAATAGGAAATGAATAACTTGTAACATTCCGAATGTATTTGAATTAGCATGCTCTTACAAGCAACTGATTGATTGATTGTTTTCTTCACAACCAGCGACAAATATTTCATGCATAACTAGACCGGAGAAAGGCATAACAATTAATACACTAAGTAGGTACTGCAGAATTGGTGGACATGGATATAAAGGAGATAGATTTAGTCTGACATTGGAAGAAGAGGCCATGCTAGTAAGGGACATAAATGTAAACTACCACAATGGCACATACGGTTACAATGGTTCTTAAAAGTGAAAAAAAAACCAAACGTATCAATGTTAATACAAGAACATTGGAATAAACATCCCCATTCCGGACAAACGTGTGTGTGTATTTATACATCCTGCACAAGCAAACAGACGTTCCTCTTTGAAGAAGACCGGATGATCATATTTCTTGACCCCACATCAATCATTGGGGTTTAATATTGATGAAATTTGATGATGTTGTGTGTGTCATAGTTTTGTTTATACTGAAAGAATCATATTAAACTTTATCTTTCATGCTTTATCAATTGGTGGATATTATGTTTATGGTACTGTGCATATTGTATCGGGATAAAATCAATAAAAAAGAAACACTAGCTGTATGTATTTCCAAAAGCAAAACATGTATCAGAATGAGGGTTGTCTTATTGACAATCATACCACATCTTCTTTTTTTTTTATATAAATAGTTCGCTGTAAATAGTGAGGGAACTGGACATAGCAGTGAGCATATAAAATCACAAGGAAGACAGTCGGATCTGTAATTGTGGTTAAGGCGAACCCAAATTATTATGGTGGGAAACTAGTTCTTGATTTTCTACCCAATTGTGCACAAGTCGACAGCAAACATTAAACCTAGATAATTCTAATCGACATAGCTTCAGAATTTGTCAATTTTTACTCGACAAATTCATGTTTTAATTGAGACATTTAAAACATGAAATGAAAATAGGGTTACACAATGCCGTCATGGACGAGGGTGTGGATGGATAGAGAAAAATAGGTCAAAAATAAAGAATAGAGAATAATGAGGTGCTAAAATATAAAGAATAGAGAATAAAGAGGAGCTAAAATATAAAGAATAGAGAATAATGATCAAAATGAATAAAGAATAGAGAAAGCGAATGGTCAAAAAAGTAAAAAAAAATAAAGAAACGAAGGACCCCATCCAAACTCAATTATGGTTAGAACAGTTTGTGAGAATTTCATGATTATCCATTCACTGGTTTTCATTGCCATCAAAAAAGTGCAAATATTGTCTAAAAATAAAATTCAGGTGTCTAATCAAAAGTATAAATAAAGCGAAACTGTAATTCATCTATGATCATGCACTCTTCATTTTGTAGAAATTCAGATCCAGATAATTGACAGGTAATACGCATGTAATTAAGATTTCTCTTTTTCGAACTTGACGTTTCTCACTTCCATCTTGACCTTTCTCATTTAGAACATGGCATGTCTCATGTCTATGGCATTTAGAACTTGGCATGTCTCATGTCTATGGCATTTAAAACATGGCATGTCTCATGTCTATGGCATTTAGAACTTGATATGTCTCATGTCTATGGCATTCAGAACTTGGCATGTCTCATGTCTATGGCATTTAGAACATGGCATGTCTCATGTCTATGGCATTTAGAACTTGGCATGTCTCATGTCTATGGCATTTAGAACATGGCATGTCTCATGTCTATGGCAATTAGAACTTGACATGTCTCATGTCTATGGCATTTAGAACATGGCATGTCTCATGTCTATGGCATTTAGAACATAGCATGTCTCATGTCTATGGCATTTAAAACTTGACATGTCTCATGTCTATGGATTTAGAACATGGCATGTCTCATGTCTATGTCATTTAAAACTTGACATGTCTCATGTCTATGGATTTAGAACATGGCATGTCTCATGTCTATGTCATTTAGAACTTGATATGTCTCATGTCTATGGCATTTAGAACTTGACATGTCTCATGTCTATGTCATTTAGAACTTGGCATGGGTCATGTCTATGGCATTTAGAACTTGGCATGTCTCATGTCTATATCATTTAGAACTTGGCATGTCTCATGTCTATGGCATTTAGAACTTGGAATGTCTCATGTCTATGGCTTTTAGAACTTGACATGTCTCATGTCTATGGCATTTATAACTTGACATGTGACATGTCTATGGCATTTAGAACTTGACATGTCTTATGTCTATGGCATTTAGGACTTGACATTTCTCATGTCTATGGCTTTTAGAACTTGACATGTCTCATGTCAATGACATTGAGAACTTGACATGTCTCATGTCTATGGCTTTTATAACTTGACATGTCTCATGTTTATGGCATTTAGAACTTGACATGTCTCATGTCTATGGCTTTTAGAACTTGACATGTCTCATGTCTATGGCATTTAGAACTTGACATGTCTCATGTCTATGTCATTTAGAACTTGACATGTCTCATGTCTATGGCATTTAGAACTTGACATGTCTCATGTCTATGTTGTAACTAGGAAATGTAATAGAAATGAGACAACTTAGACCTGAGAAATGTCAAGCTAGAAATTAGAAATATCAAAATAATAAATATTATTAATTAACTAGTACTCTGTTATTGGACTTAATATGATGATAACTGCCTTTGCTATGCAAAAGTGTCAACTCGGCCAATACAGAAAAACTCGGCCAATATGGATTTTGTTCTGTATTGGCCGAGTAATCATCCGTCCAATACAGGATTTCGGAACGTCCCTAGTTTTTAGATCGAAAGTCATGATGAACACAACGTAATGTAAACTGTTGTTTGGAAGACGCTGTTTTATTTACTCCCCATAAACATGCCGAAACGTTCAGTGTGGCAAATATTTCAGGCTAAAGACGGTCACATTCATTTAAAAAAGCATTTTATAAGCAGACAATTGAATTGTTTCAGGTTTGGGCAACGAGTCTGTAGATTATCACAAAGCTCATTTTTTGTCGACCTCATAACTATTTAAAACAGTTTATCAGTTTAATGAGTGCATTTCAATTTACTGTTTACTTTCGCTTCTCATGTTTTTGTATCATGTATTTTTCAACCCGAACCTCATATGGATTGTTGAAGGATGACCTGTAATCTATTGATCAAGTTAGTCTTTATGGATAGTTGTCTTATGTATCATATTCAACTCCTAGTTTTATTTAGTCATTTTGTTTCTGAATCTCTCATGCAATGGCAGTACCTTTCCAATTACTATTGATGTGTTGCATCTGAATATGTATTGTAACACTTTATAGTGACTGAAAAGGGTTAATAAATCATCAAAAAATGTAGAAGACTCTTCAGATCATTTGACATTGCAGCTTATAAAAGGAAACTCAAATTTGGATAGTTCGATTTCAATGTAATACATGTTAAAATCTTGTGAAAGGAAATAAAACACAAAAAAGATAAACACTGTATGCACATAGTTAATTAATAAAGATATCATTACGTGATTATTTCTGTATTGGCCTTGTTATTGGTCCTCGGCCAGCTGTATTGGCCTTCGGCTTCGCCTCAGGCCAATACAGCAAGCATCGGACCAATAACAAAGCCAATACAGAAATAATCACGTAATAATATCATAGAGATGTTAGAAATACAATATCCCTACCAGTCTTTCGTAAAATAAAACGCATAATTGTTTATAAAATGTGCTGAACAAAATATACATGTTTTTTCTTGTTTCTTTGTTTTGTTTTAGGAAATTACAATTATTTACAATTTAATTTTCATGCTGCATTAAACCATTTAACAGACTTCTGACTTATTATTTGCCAGCTTGGTGATTCAAATTGTGATATTTATTGGTCTCTAGAATTTGTCACTGGCTAACATGGTCACTTGCCTTTAGTCGCTAGTTTGAATCTGTTACACAAGGTACGTCTAATCGATTGTGTGTGTTCAGACAATAATAGTTCTGAAATGTGCCATAATAATTGCATGTACCTACCGTTCTTGCCAAGTCAAAATCTTTCCATTCTAATATTCCATCTTTATTCAAATCTAAAATTGTAAATATAATATTAATAAAACGTGCTTATACATGTTCTCATAAATGTATCTTCGTCAACCTCTGCTTTAATGACTTAAAATTTATCAGTGTGAATGGATGTAGTACGCAATTTATCATCTCGGGGTTGAGGAGCTCGAATTTCTAGCCCAATCTGTAACAACATCTTAGGATATTAAACTTAATCTTAATATCTTTCATCTTTATAATATCTAAACATGTTTTGTTCGTTGCTGTATTTTAGTGGTTGTACGTAAAAAAACGTATATTTATTGTGAAAGGGGTCAGTTGTTGTAAAACGTTGCCTAACGTTTACTTGTAAAATGTTGTAATTGAAATATCATAGATAATTGAATCTTCAAAATTTAAAATTTGAGAGTTACTGGGTATGTTTTTTTTTTTAATTTAACCATCAAGACTTCAACTTTCTCACTTGGAACTCTTCGTTCAATAGCTTCCTTGTAAGCAGCAACCCTCTTTCAATGAAATCATGATAGGATATGCAAGCTCTAGAATATTGTAACAACTGGGAGATATATACACAATATGCAGAAGCTGCTGGACTGTTGCTACATAGAAATGGAAAGTTCACAATTGGGAATCTGAAATCATCTCTTTTGTCGTAAAGTTTTGTTCTCAGCCGACCCGCACTGTCAATTTCTAGATGAACGCTTAATTCAAAATATGAGGCAGACTTAACTGTATCTGTTGTATCCTTAATTTTAAGTTCATTATTAATTTTCATTTCAGGTCCTTGTATAGCTTCTATGCGATATGGGTTTTTCTCATTGATGAAGGCCGTACGTTGACCTCTTGTTGTTAACTTCTTCGTCATTTGGTCTCTAATTGATAGTTGTTTTATCATCAAGCATACCATGCGCATCTCCTAATTTGTATATTATGACGTCATGTTGACATCATAACTAACTTTTTTAAACTGAGGTGCATAGCTTGCATCACTGTATTCAAAGAATTGAAGAACTAAACTGTTTTATCAATTTCAGAGGTTAGATAATGACTGCTATCACACCACAGCCACGTCAAACTGGTGAGAACCGCTTTCAATTCATGTAGAATTAGAAAAAAAAATAATTTCAATGACCCTAAAACAAGATGATCAGGACCTATAGATGTCATAATTTCGTTTCTTGCTTGATTATTAGAAGAAAATCATGAATTAATATGTAAGATTCAAATTATTGTTCCGTATTTGAATTTCCGTTTAATCTCGCCCTGGTTCTATTGTTAACTGCTAGATTTTGCGTTATTATGTATATATATATAAATATGCAGATGTTGTATGATTGCCAATGAGACAACTCTCCACCAGAGAGCAAACGCCATAGAAGTTAACAACTTCTTAGAAGTTAACAACTATATGTTACTGTTCGGCCTTCAACAATGAGCAAATCCCATACCGCATTGTAAGCTATAAAAGGCCCCGTAATGACAAATGTAAAACAATTCAAACGAGAAAACTAACGGCCTGATGTATGTACAAAACAATGAACGAAAAACAAATATGATATACAGCAACAAACGACCACCACTGAATTACAGGCTCCTGACTTGGGACAGGCACATACATAATGTGGCGGGGTTGAACTAGTTTGAAGGCGCCACACCTCTCCCTACCTGGGATAGTGGTGTAACAGTACAACAAAAGAACAAACTATTAAAATCAGTTGAAAAGGGCTTAACTCATCAGATCGATACAAAGCAGAAAAACATCTAACGAAAAATACAGACTGAAAGTGGCAGGATAAGTATACATTCCTAACAACAAAAAAGACACTAAGTACAGATCTGAGAGAACTCGCAGTTACTGACAGCTAGTTCAAAGCCAATAACAACTAATAAAAAAATCATGCATCTAAGACTAAAACTATGTGCGGGTTTTTTTAAAACACATATACAAAACAGATGTACAAATATGTAAAGTTATTCTAAGAGTTCCCCCACAAGGGTGACTGGGCGCTCAATTGGCTTTGCGGGAAGTACGCAGCCAAGTCCGGTCAGAATGCGGACGTTAAATACGATGCCTCGTGTAGAGAGAGTGCCACGATCTCTTCACGTAAAGAACCCTTGCAACAACTTTTTTTCGGAGTTCGTAGATGGCCTGTTGCAAGGCAAAATTTCTATTCCTATCCTATTTATCCTCATTTTCCCTACCTTTATCCCACACGATCTCTAGTACATGACCTACATATTATATGTAATGTTAATTTGTTCTCGTCCTAAAAATGCATGAAATATTTGCCACTGGACGTTAAGCAGCCAGCACTCAATCAATCTTAGAGATTTGTTTAGCTGTAGTACAGTTTAGCCTCAATAATTAATCAAGACAACAAGTCAAACTGTATATTGTGTTCGTATGATTGTAAATTTGCCGCTTTGATAATTTTCTAAATGTGTCTGCTACAATATATGTCTATGAAAAATAAAGCTGTTACATTTGATCGACTATACATTACTACTGTATCGTGCATTTTTCATTTAATAAATAAATCTCAATAAACTTAAATTGCTTCATTAACTGCTTATTTTTGAGTACTGAATTATTCGAAACCAGATTGAGGAACACATGCAGGGGTAATGCTTCCATCAAAAATCATTCACTATCAATCATTTTTAATACTAACAGTTTAAGAGAGAATGTCTTTTTGAGTTCAATTTGCTTCAAATTGATAAATCTGTATCAAAACCTGTTGCAGAGCACTTTTTAATCGGTTACATATATAACTATTATTCTATGACACCCCACCGATATAAAAGCATGCCTGGATAGATGAGAATTGTTATCGTCAGTTTAACATTTAGAAATTAAAAACATCCATTTATTTTTTACATCTCCCTATGCGCTATTACTTTGATGGAATTGAGTTATAAATAACGAGTTCTGACATCTAATCATTGCATAAACTACGAACGGAATTGTATTCACACAGTCACATGAAACTTTTAATATCGGTAAGACCTGCACATGAACTAGCAAATGAATATAATACAATGTATATGGCATACATGCCAATATAATTTCAAACTCGTCAAAAAACTTAATTTTTTAGACTGTAATACATTTTATCGACGGAAAGAAGACGAGATGCTTGATCATCAACCACTGAAAATACCGTGTACACACTAATCATCTAATATACTAATATATATGGCAAAAACATCTCAAACACATATTACAATTGCCGATCGCCCACAAGACTAGAAGGAGACCGGATTTTATTATAATCTATGTTTGATACACATACCAATTTCATGAAAATAATATCTATACATATAAACAATATTCAAACTGCCAATACGAGCTGAAAAGTTTTACTCTGTCATAAACGAACCCGCCCGCTAGGAAAAACCAACAACCAAGTTACCTCAGTTGATATGGAAACCTGTGTCCAAATCCTAATGCTCAGAAGATCGTCTCGAGAGATGTACATTGGCCAGTACTGAAAATTGGCTTACGTTTACATAAACAAAATACAACAAAAATGTAGACTGCTAAAACACATTTCTATATAGTACAAAATATGAAAGCGCAAACAATAATATGAGTCAACATAATATTAGAACTTGACCAGTTCGAAGTTGGCGAGAGAATGTCTAATTGAGAAATTTAACTGCGAAAAATGACCAGTCACGTGATACTACAGTTATTATCACGTGTCAACACATGTATATATGAAAGAACCGTTAGTACAATAATTTTCCTCTATACTTCGAAACGCGAAAACTTATTGTTATGTAAATGTTTTTGAATAGTTATATTGGACTAGGTGCAGTTGTACTAAAAAATACTCTTTAGAATTGCAACACTTTGAAATACAAGCACAATCAGTTTTTGTGATTTTTCAAACCTACAAAATGTTTATTTAGTTAAACAGTACCTTAACGTAAAATTGTAGACACAGAGATATGTCTCTTCTGTTTTGCAGCAATATCAAAACCGGTAATATGATAATGTTATTGACTGCATATGATTTAAAGAAACCACCAAGTAATATGCAAAAATAATAGGACAAGTTTTGTATTGCGAAGGCCTAGGACAACCAGGAGAGACAATGTTTGACATATTTCATGGACACTGAAATATTCTCAGTAGGATACATTCGTAATGAAGTGAAGACTCGTTCAATATATTGTTTTCAATGACCCCTACTTGTCCTGTTTGCATCGTCTCCCCCCTAAAACCCATAAAACTCATGCATAAGTGACTCCTTAACTGATATTATGCGCTTTAGAAAAAGAGTTTAACTTAAAATAGTTTTTGGACTCAATTCTTCAAATGTAATTGTTGGCAACCAAGTATGTCATTACTCCAATTGTTGCACCATACCCGGTTTTGGGATAAGAACCGTAATAAGCGTTTAATGTATATGAAATTATATAGAGGCCTGTTAAATTTATGAGATGATTAAATATGGTCCATGGGCTTGTTTAGCGTACATAGGATTAAGGTAGTTTATTATACTCGTATATGGAAAAGAAAAGTTCAATGGTTATTGGGAGAATGGGGTTTTAGTGGTAGATCATTTACTTATCAGGAACTTTTTATAGATTTGGGACGATTTTAGAGTTTGTTATATTGTATAGACATCTGTTGATCGGTTTATTGTTGAAAACTGTATTTGGCCCTCTAGATGTGTTTTAGTGTTGTTTTTTTTTTCGTTGGTTTGCTGTCTCCTCCTATCTTCTTGTATTTACATCACGATTTTTAATTAACACAAATTGAATGATAACGTGTTGAAAAAGATTGTTAAATGTGATCGACACAAAAAAATCATCATCGTAAAACATTTGTTATACAGGAATATGTAGTGTTTTAGTTAGATCTTTTTAGTAATGATATAGGGAAGGGCATAGTGTAACAATACTAGAATCATAATACAGGTGCAAATAGATTGATGATGTTTAACGCCACTTTCAGCACTCTTGTCTCTATAGATATTATTGCGGCCAGTTTTTATATATGGAGGAAGCTGGAGTACCCGGAAAGATCCGCCGACCTACTGCAGGCAAACTGGCTATACTAGTCAATTAAGATCGCACCTGCCACTTTTGTCTAGTTCACAATCTAAGTGTTGACAGGCTAGACTAAGTTATCACCGTAGATGACCTAGTTATACCACTGAACCACCGCAAGTGCAAAAATGTATTACTAAATAGTTCTTGGCGCAATGCATTATGTAGATTGCAGTTCTCTAACATTTCCATCGCAGTATTAAATCGCGATCAGTATCATTAAATAGAGTTTCTGGAATTTCAGATCATCGTAGTATGATTCACAAACACAATTAATATATCATTATGAACAAATATTATTGGTAGATTTCAGTTATTGACTAGAAATACACAACTATGTGAAGGTTTAAATGATAAAAAGTATAATTACGATGGTAATGACATTCAATAGCGTACATCTGTTACAGACTGTATGATTCATTGTAAATGATTGTATTGTCCTTGTATGTAAATGTTGACAAATATTGCATGACATAGTATAACCTTGTATTCCAAAGCTTTACTTACATGGTTGCACCTAACGATTGAGAAGCTACTAGTATATCTTATGTTTCTTATCTTTAATGTCGGTATGACTTCTGGTTGGTTTTGTTTTATAAACTCACTGCACAGGGGCGATCCAGCCATTCAAAAAAGGGGGGTTTCTAACCCAGGATAAAGGGGGGGGGGGGGGTGTTCCAACTATATGTCCCCATTCAAATGTATTGATCGTGATCGTCAAAAAAGGGGGTTTCCAACCCAGGGAACTCCCCCTTTCTCGATCCGCCACTGCTGCATAATTATAATATATAATTTAAAAAAAAAAGAATAGATCAAATAATTTATTTAACACACTCCCATACCACCTAGACCACAACAACCCGCATAACAGATGAATTGTTGATGCCTCGATAGAATTCCATTAATCGGCTCTATTTAAATTGTTTGTTTCTATATATATTTCTATTTATTTGGTTGGTGGATATAACTGAATAACTGAACAATCGTATCTTTAGTCAAGATTTTACGTGACAAATTGTGGATCGTTGGATTCTGTAAAAGCATTTTTATTGTGACATATTTCATAAAACTCAATTGTTGTAAACAATAAAACTTATTGCTGCCATATCTCTGAATAGTCAAATGTATAATTTTAGTAAAATTTGCATTGATATTACTTTTTTTTCAAACTACTTCTGAGACAGCACCGCTGCGAGGTAGTGGACTATCTGTCCTCGGAAGTGTCAGCCTCTCAATAGCTGTAGTGCTACGGAAGTAGAATAATTTAAATGATAAATTTCCAGTGCATAAATTATGTAATTGTGCTTAAGTCAAGCTTGTTATTCCTCTATGTCTATACAAGACGGTTGGTTGTGTTGTTCAGACCCGTTTGTTATGTATGCTCTCCAATATTCTATATTTTTTGACTTTTCAAGCTTTTGGTTTCAGGCGTGCATGAGGAAAGTTATTCGAGTAACACGTGATGTGTACACACAATTCTTATAATATGGTGCCTCGTCCTGAACATGCATGATATACTTGCCACTAGATGTTAAGAAAACAACAATCAATCAAGATAATGCGTTGTTTTTCTTTGTTATCATAATTACAAAGTCTACACAGAATAATAGTACACTGGAACATCTTGACGGTGATGTGATGACTTGCATGTTCTATTAAATGTGCATATCACCATGTTTGCGCATGCACATATAGTACATGTAAGTGCAGCTAAAATAGTCATTAATGCATTACTGCACTTGTTATAAAGAAAGTGTAAAGAAGACATACCAAAGAAGACGTGGAATTCGTGCATCAATTTCTTCTTCTGGAACTCTGATAATTCTGGATTAAATATTCCTAGAATTATGCCCATGCTCTTTCCTTTGCTGACAAATCCGGCTTTTACTGTAAAAAAAGAATACTTGGTCCTTATTGTTGTTTTCCCGATTTCCAGATGTCACGAGAATTATCGGTGATTTTATTGCAACGAGAGTTCACTGGATACAGTAAAGAACAGCACGATTTCCGGTATAACCGATTTTTTAGGATACAAGAATTTTGAACTGGATTCTCATAAAATCACATGCAATTAGTACAAAATTAGTCCAATGCTGAATCTTTGTTATAATCATTCATAGAAATGTAATGCATTTGAAAAGGACACTTTTATCAGAATTAACATCAATTCCCCGTTTATTTTATCGAATATTGATAAAACCCCAATGTAAGGGGGTAACATCTTGTACGTCACGTGATCTAGTTTATTGTTGCAATATTGATTCAATCTACATTGTATGAAAAAATACTTTTTGCATACAATAAGTATATGACATAAGAGAATCAAAGAAATAGTATAATTATTCATAGTACATGGCTACTGATTAAAATGGATAAATTAATACTTTTTCCACGAAGTCTGTATCGGTTCACTTTTTATTGGTTATTTGTGAAATAAACTATCAATGCAGTTAAAATTGATAAATAGATATATTGCAGTCAGATCGTTGATTCATAACAAAAGGTACAAAGACACATAAAATAATGCATAGTCAAACAAATGCATTTTATGATTGAGGTGGCAGAACCGTATTTAAAAAAAATAAATAAACATATTAATTGCAATTTTAATTATGTTAGCTTAGACTATTAAAAATATGGAAAATTTTGTAAAATAGATCAACAGCAATTACTTCAAAACGTGTTTGAAACGTTTATCTCTGTCAATTAATTCAGGGGATCCTTAACTGACAGCGGCAAATATTACACGCACATTCAGGACTGTTACATGTAAATGTCAAATGCAAAAAACATTATGTTATAAAATAAGGAGATATTCCAATGAAACCATTGTTTTCGCCGGACTCAACATCTAGTGGATGTAAGAAATTATAGTACTCATCGTACGACCTTCAACATTTGTTTGTACTGTTCCTACCATTCTTTGCTCCGTCTCATACACACCGCTTGATTAGCAATGCATAGCAAGTTTAAAATCTTTATTTTAATCTAACAAATAACAGAACTAATGTTCTTCTGCATTTGAGACGAGTATGCTACCACAAGTCCACAGAACCGCTAATGTTGATATTAAGGTGCGTGCTTTATATCAGTTATACTTCCTAGATACAGCTAGAGCCATCATTATGTATCGTATTAAGATAATTCAATAGTACATGGATACTTCTCATTGGACGTCTTTCAGCCCGGTCGACCAATTTTGCAAACGAATCGATCGGATTTATTGTTACTCTATTCTCGTCCTCAATATTCATCAAATATTCTTCACTGGACGATAAACAAACAATAATCAATCATAGTTTTACAAATTACAGTAGAGTTCTAGTATGTGTGTATGTCTGACTTCTAACTCTTATGCACATATACTACAATATTAAAATGTGTGTACAGCGTATACACATCATACAAGGAACTGTTTAACATTTCTCATCAGCATACATGTATTCAGATAACTATTTCAATGTCTTCAGTCCTCAAACATGAGCCTACATTGCTTTCCAAATATAAGGACAAAGGCGGATTAAGAGGGTGGTGCAGGGGGTCCGCTCCCTTTTTTAGCTACATACATTTGTATGTGGTTAATGCATAGACATTTTTCGTGTTCTACTCCTCACGTTGCCTAGTTTGCTCCCCCCTCTTTATTCAAAAGCCCGGATCTACATCTTAAGACTGAATGGGTGTCCTATGTGCAAAGCATTCAATGATTTAATAAATGCTTGAATTTAAGAATAATGATAAATCAATGACTCAAAAAGGAGCACTGACGTTTATGTATGGAATGGTTGTCGAAATTTGAATACCATACACAGATTATATTTTTGAAAAAAACAGGGAAATAAGGGAGAAAGCTTGATATTACTAAGCCTTAAAAATTCCTCGTTTTCATAAAAAGAAAGGCAAATATGGTTATATATATTACATATTTATGGTAATTATAAATATTACAAACTGTACCTGTACTTGCATTTACATATCTGTAATGTATTATATAATATATACAAATGAGTGGTTACACAAATGATTTTAAGCTGTCAGATTATGATGATTTCTTTATTGCATCATTGGTTTAAATATATATAGTACTTACTCGAAGTAAAGAATCCTTTAACGGCTTGCATTTTCGTCCGCTTTGGATTTAAGGACGAGTTCCTAGCACTCTGTGTGGATGATATTTTCAGGAACTCGAAACACATGGTTATCTTGTAATATCAAAATCCAAAAATATCCAATGAATTCATAGTATAAAAGTTCAACAAAGTTACCTATTGTACAAACGGCCCGAGGTTATTAAACAAAAAAGATCAAAATCGATAATTTCCTCGTAATATTTATCACTTGGCCATAACAATATATTGACAATTTGTAATCCTTGTATTCATGTATTTAATTAAGGACATTCAAAAGCAAGCACTTAAATAGAAAGTCATTAATTATTGATCATAATTATTACCAAAAATCAGTCGTCTCATACTTCCTGTCAATCAGACAATGTCGTAATTATTACATCTGCAGTATAAGGATATGTGTATTGCCACAAACGTTTATACAATCCGTCTCGCCGCACAAAGCACTGGCCAATCACATAAATACCCTAAATAAAGGGTAGGATTACCATGAAATACAGACCTTCCAATCTGTTTAATTTACGATGTTTTCAGCGAGATTTGTTTAATAAAGCACTGTTTAATTACAGTTCATGAATATATTCCATCTTCATAAATACAAGATTTAATATAATACTTAGGGAAACAGTTATGAACTTCAATACAATAGACATTTGCAAATTCCAACAGTTTACGTGTGTTTTAAATCCTAAATTCACATAAAATATAGTAATTTAAATGTACTTTATCCAGATCAATCTGAAATTCAATATGTTATTTTCTAAGTATGTTCACCTGTTTATTTTAGGTATATAGTTGTAAATACACATTAAAAGCGTTCTTTTAAACACGTACTGAACGCTTCATTTCACTTGCTTCTAGCGATATCAACAAATTATCAAATGACAGATTTTGTTGATACCTTTCGTTAAATAAATCAATGAATAATCGAAATAATTCAGGATATAATATTTATCAATTTGGATTATTAATCTTATTACAATTTTAATTATACAACATATGCTTAATTTATAAAATATGTATAGATTTTTAAAGTGACATATAGGTCGGAAGGGCCCGGTATTGATATAATTAATATGCAGTTTATTGTATATGTGTACATGTATGTTTTTAAATTGTCTCATAAGTCAACTGTTTGGCTGGGCATTGGTTGCATTTTAAAGATAATACTTTTTATTTGTATATATGTACTGTCTCAATCAATGTGTGACACTCAAATATAATAGATTTATTATTATTATTATTATTATTTGTAATAACAACCGCTTTTTGTTGATATATTGTTTAATATTATAAAACACATGTCGCTATGATAAACAATTTACCCTTTCCATTAATTGCTAATTTAAGATCAGATGGAGAAATCGGGGTAACTGGATACGTGCACGTTCATACATTAATATAAACAAAATATAACATTTCAAATCATAATCGGATTTTATTGTAATTTGATCTAATTGGAAGCGGATTTATACTACTATCGAATGTCACATAAAGTAATTTATATGTTTTACCTGATGAGTAATATTATATTTACTCAAAAACAAATTGGATTAGACTAAAGTCAAACAGACTTATGAAGTCTTCTCATTTTAGCATATTTAACAATACAATTTGTAAAAGCATTTCATAAACTGATCATTATTTCTACAATAAACTATTCATATAAATTGGACATTTGCAGAAAATCATTTTGCCAAAAGACATTAGGGGATTTTTTTTTATCACATGAAGGAAAAAAAAGCAATACAATGACGATATGTGATTCTGTTTAATTTACTATCTCAACAATAAGGAATCTTGCCAACCCTCTGAAACACATGTTTACATATATACTTAAATTTTCTCCTGAGTAAGTATACCATTACCCGAGGTTCTAACCTACATTGTCTCATTGGCACTTATACCACATCTTCTTAAATAGATGTAATTGTAAAACATCACCGTTATATTATGAATATAAGAAGATGTAGTATGATTACCAATGAGACAACTCTTCAACAGAGACCAACATAACATAAAGGTTAACAACTATAGGTCAACTTTATGGCCTTCAACAATGAACAAAACCCATACCACATTGCATGTTAAACCGCCTAATTATATTCCGATGATATCCATGTTAGAGTTTAATAATACATTTGAATGAAATACATTTTTCAGAATAATTTCTTCTATAAATATTATTATCAATACGCGTATATGTTTGATTGATCAATGGTTGCCGTATGTCCAGTTGCAAATATTACATGCATATTCATGACGATAACATGTTTAAGTTAATGATTATGGGTGTCATCTGCTTTGTACGACCGACACCCTGAGAAACGAGATATTTCGAGACCACCGTTTACACCCATTACATATAGAATACGATACACTGAAAATGATATTTAACCAACTTCTTTATGACACTTATCATTTTGCTTAAACATTTGATGATAAAATCCAATCTCGATTCGGATTTATACTAACTGTGACAGTTGTGGTTTTGCCGAGAGATACGAACCAGGAAGGGTACTCCATTACACGGTCCAGGACGAGTCCCTAACGAACCAATCGTGTACTGGGACCTGCTCCTGTTACAAATTGATGCCGAGACCAAGATACTATAGGCCCTTAAACTTTGAAAAAAACCCAAATAAACCGCCCCCTCAAAAAATAAAAATAAAAAATAAATTCGAAGTAGTATAAATAAGTGAATATGTAGTTGTAATTAAAAAAAAATGCTTGCAAAATCGTCTGAAGAATATCAATCTAATAAATGAAAAAAGGGTAAATGGATTTTGATAGTGTTGAAAGGATGACATCATCCGAACGTTAAAATGAAAGGTACCCAATAACCTCAACTCCTTATGAAGATCCAGGTTACCGAGCCCCACATAATGTTGAAGAAGATGAATTTTAAGCTTTAAGCATATTCAAAACGAAGTTTTTAAGGTTAGTTTATACGTGATAAAATTAATAAATATCATACAAAGAAGTAAGTCTTAATGTTACAAGTACTGATCTAATAACATAGTATAAAATTTAAACATCAAATTAACACATTTGTCGAAAAAGTTTATTAAAAAGCACTGACAAAGAGGTTTGAAAAACATTCAAACAAAGTCTTCTAGTCTTTAGTAGAAATTAGAAGATGTGGTATGAGTGCCAATGAGACAACTCTCCATCCAAGCCACAATGTGTAAAAAGTAAACAATTATAGGTCAAAGTACGGCCTTCCACACGGAGCCATGGCTTACACCAAACAGCAAGCTATAAATGACCTCAAAATGACTAGTGTAAAATAATTCAAACAGGAAAACCAACGGTCTAATCTATATAAAAAACGAAGTGTCTAGTCTTAAGGTAGTCGGCACAATTATTTGGAAGCCATGTCGATCGTTTTACCTTGCAATATGGGATTGTTTGAAAAAGTTCTTGTGAAGTATATTCCATTGAAACCGTTAACATCAACGGTTTCTAAAGTGATTTATGAAGACAAGAAGTTATTCTAATTAACAGGAAATGAATTTAAAGAATGTAATCAGAATAGGGAGCAACTGTTCCTTGTTATTCGTTGTATTTTTATAACATTTTAAGGGAAGAATTTTCAGCAAAGTTGTTCACGTTAGATTTCCATAATTATACACCTGAATCCTGAAAGAAGACAGTTGTTGGGTGATTTATTTATTCACATGATTATTTTGTATATTGACGTGGTGACAATGAATACATTTATAACTTCGTCAGCTAAGGAACAAAAAGAGGGGAACAAACGTACATTACTTTTTTTATAATGAATAACCAGGTTTTTTTGGGTATATGAAAAGCCATTCTTGTGTTTAAAATAAATTAATGAAAAAATTGTAAAGGTGGACTTTTTGTTTTCTTTGAACTTTGGTGGATAGTTGTCTCATTGGCACATCTCCTTATCTTAATTTTAGTTTATAACCTATGTTTGTGTTATATTATTGTATATTTGAATACATTTAGTAAAAAAAGTATAACAACATACTGTACTCAAAGGCAAATTCTACGGAAGCCGATAAGGGTCATTCGAAAAAAATAATTTATGTCGTAATTACGACATAGCATGTCGTAAAAACGACATAACTATGTCGTAATTTCGACATAGCATGTCGTAATAACGACATCACTATATATATAAACAAAGAGTATATATAATGATTGCCAAGTGACTAAATGACACAGAAATTAACAACTATAGGTCATCATAATGCCTTCAATAATGAGCAAAGCCCCCGCATAGTCAGCTATAAAAGGCCCCGAAATGACAAATGTTTAACAATTTAATTCAAACGAGAAAACTAACTGCTTTATTAATGTACAAAAAATGAACAAAAAACAAATATGTAACACAGCAACAAACGACAACCACTGAATTACAGGCTCCTGATCGCTATGTCATAATTACGACAACCTTAGCGTTGTCACTTTTTGAGGCGATAGAAAATTCAAAATGGTCGTCAGTAAGGGCAAAGTTTGTAGCGTAAACAAATTCATCTTTTTTTGGAGAATAATGAACACTAAATGCAATCAAGCTTAAGTAAAGTTATTTACTTGCACATACTAGAACTTTATTTTATAATCAAGTCAAATGAGACCCAGTTGAACAGGGGAGCAATTCAGGCTCCTTGGAGCCTCTAGTTATGTTTGGCATGTACAGATTCGTGTAAAATATGACTGCATTTCCATTGCAGATTCTGAAGAAGATGAATTTTAAGCTTATAAAGACTGTGTTAAACTTTGGACTCCTAGTGCTCAGACCCATGGACCTATGTACCTTCATTTGTACACAATTGCATCTTAATGGCCTACTGATGCTTTATGCAAATTATAACTGCATTGCTACTGTTAATTCTTAATGAGGTTCTTACAGCGTCATCCCCATTGAAGCCTGTATTAAACTTTGGACCCAAAGTTCTTTAAACCAATGTTCCCCACGATAACTATTCCTAAAAACTTAGGGGGAGGGTTAGGATCCCGTTAACATGTTTCATCCCGCCACATTCTGTATGTATGTGCCTGTCCGAAATCAGGAGCCTGTAATTCAGTGGTTGTTGCTTGTTGATGTGTTACATATTTGTTTTTCGTTTATTTTTTGTACATAAATTAGGCCGTTAGTTTTCTCGTTTGAACTGTTTTACATTTGTTATTTCGGAGCCTTTTATAGCTGACTATGTGGTATGGGTTTTGCTCATTGTTAAAGGCTGTACGGTGACCTATAGTTGTTAATTTCTGTGTCATTTGGTTTCTTGTGGCAATCATACCACATCTTCTTTTTTATATTTAATCCTCATCATATAAGGATCATCCATTCTCTAAGATTGATCCAATATGGCCTGGTAGTTCTTAAGGAGAAGATTTTCAAAGCTTTTTCCATTGGGGCCTATGTTAAACTTCGGACCCCTAATAATCGAGCCTAATGTATCCCCTGACCTTCACCTATCACCTAAGGAAGTTGTGTCTCTTACTCGAAGTGGTATGCGAGCGATTGCCATCGTTTGTTGTCCGTCGTCGTCTGTCGTAAGCGTGTTTTAAAAATCTCCTTTGAAACTAATGTGCAAAATTCTTTAAAAGTTAGTTTGATTTTTCCTTGTTAAATGTTTCCTTCACAAAAGGCATGCTTTGATTTTCGACTCCTTAAAAACACAGCCACTGTTATTAACTTGAAAAAATAGGACATAATGGTCACACGTTAGTTTTTTGATAATGTCTCG